TTTCACGTTTTTATTTTTTTAAAAGATGTTATTTATTCATTCATGAGAGACACACAGAGAGAGGCAGAGGCACAGGCAGAGGGAGAAGCAGCTCCCTGCAGGGAGCCCGATGTGGGACTCGATCCCGGGACCCCAGGATCACGACCTAGGCCGAAGGCAGACGCCCAACCGCTGAGCCACCCAGGTGCCCTGTTTTTCACATTTTAAGATGACTAAAAAAAGAAAAAACTACAGGACAGAAATTTTCCTAGCCTGCTCCTCGAAACTGAAAATATTTTCTATCTGCTCCTTTACAGAAAAATTTGCTGATCGCCCGTCAAAGACACAGTGAGCTATAGAAATACCATATAGCCCAAACACTAGGCCCATTTTTCTGATATGAGGAGATATATTTCTTACAAACTGCCCCAAATTCCTTTCTAAATTGTATATTATTTTGTCATATAATGCTTTATACATTTACAAAAAATGTAAAATGTTCAACTGTTTAATTTTTTTCTATATTTGCAAGTATCACTCCTAGTTATTTTTCTTTCTGAATTCAATGAAACAGTATAAATCATATAACCAAGCCCTCTCATTTTGTAGGTGAGTAAACCGAGGCAGGGCAGAATGAAAGGGCTTGACAGAAGCTAGTCAGAGAAAGAGCCAAAATTAAGAACACTGCCCAGATTCTAGAAATCTCTTTTCTTTTTTTAAAGCTTATTTTTGGGGCACCTGGGTGGTTCAGCGGTTGAGCATCTGCCTTCGGCTCAGGGTGTGATCCCGGGGTCCTGGGATCGAGTCCCACACCCTGCTTCTTCCTCTGCCTGTGTCTCTGCCCCTCTCTCTCTGTGTGTCTCTCATGAACGAATAAATAAGATGTTTTTAAAAAAGTTTATTTTTAAGTAATCTGTACAGCCAGCATGGGGCTGGAACCCACAAACCCAAGATCAGGAATCACGTGCTCTACCAACTGAGCCAGCCAGGCGTCCCTAACATTCTTTACTTTCTCATTCAGGATGGCAGTGTAAAGATTTTTTTTTAATTTTTATTTATTTGACAGAGAGACAGAGAATGAGTAATGGGAAGGGCCAGAGGGGGAGAAAGAGAGAAGCAGACTCCCGGCCGAGCAGGAAGCCCGATGCAGATCCCAGGACCCGCCGAGCATGACCTGAGCCACAGGCAGGCGCCCAGCCCACTGAGCCACCCAGGAGCCCCAGGATGGCAGGTCAAAGATGATCATTACTAGGTTGTTAACATACCAAATGTATTCTCCTGGATGATCCCCACTCTCTGTCCCCACTTGCCTGAGATAGAGGAACGTCCTTCCATCTCCCTGGGGCCATACTTGCCCAGGTCACCTGCCGAACCGGTGGTCTCTGGCAGTGTGTGCTTCAGACCTGGGTTTCCAGCCAGCCTTCCCGCTGTGGAGGCCAGTAGACTGGCCTGATGCGTGTGCACATTCGTACGTGTGTGTGTGTGTTGTTTTGTTTTCATGTCGGCCTCAGTTATTCTAATCCAGCCGCCAGTCTGAGTGGAACCTAAGAGACGAATATGCTTTTAAGGCTCAATTGATTCTGTTATGAACCACTGTGTTTTACAGAAAAGAAAACTATTTTTACAAAGGGTGAAATACAGAATCTCTTCACCAGAGCACATACTCTGATTTTGGAAGTGTCTCAGGCCTGAGCGATTTTCAAACAACAGAATAATTTTAATTAGGAACTTCTAAGGAAAAAGCCATAGATTCTGCAGACTGTATTATAAGGTGATTGAAAAAAAAAAAAGAAAAAATAAGGTGATTGAAGACGGATTCGGGCAATTCACTTTGGTCTCCATTTTAGGTGCCTCTTTATAAAGTTCGTTATAATCACCCTTCTTTTTTTTTTTTTTCCTGGCATCTCCAATCTACTTGATGCTATGAAGAGGGCACTTAACTAACTCGTGCCTCAGTTAGTATCCAGTGGAACCCCTTGATCTTGGGTTTGTGGGTTCCAGTATCCAGTATGTAATAACTAGTGACCAATAGTCCTTAGAGTGTGGGGTCTGGGGTGGTCTGGTCAACATGGAGCTACTTGGATGGAACAATTGGTACCGAAGGAGAACAACACAGTTGGCCCTTGAACCGCACAGGTTCGAACAACATGAGTCTATTTACACGTGGATTCTTTTTCGCAGTAAATACAGTACACTACTCTAAAAGTATTTTCTCGTCCTCATGATTTTCTTAATCGCATTTTCTTTTTTCTAGCTTACTTTATCGTAGGATAAAGGATACAATAAATCTATACAAAATAAGTGTTAACCGACTGTTTATGTTAGTCAGGCTTCTGGTCAACAGTAAGCTAATAGTAAAGTTTCGGGGAGTCAAAAATTATATACAGCTTTCTGACTGCACAGGGGGTCAGCACCCCTCACAGCCACATTGTTCAAGGGCCAGCTGTATATGTTTTTATATACATCTATACCTATGTATATATGTGTATATATATGAGATTACTGATATTCTGATTTCTAAATATTGAGCTGAAAAAATTTTGAGCCAGGAAAACATGACGTTAAATAACATAAACCTACTATGACATGTGATTTTAAATATAGATTTAAATATATATATATATATATATATATATATTATATGCATGCATATTTGAACAATGTGTATTTTCCCCTAGTGTGTCAAATTCTAAGAGGTTATAAATATTTCCAAGTGAGGAGGACGAATTCTTTAATCACATTTCATGCCATTTGGAGTATATTTAAGACTCAGCTGAGCGTGAAGTAAAGACATGTTGTTGGCTGTAAGAAAGCAAAATTACTGCACGTAGGAAAATTTTCACCCCTCTGTGCTCAATATACAATTTTCTAAAATTTTACACCCACTGCTTAGATCAAATCTTCCAACGATAGAGCCAAAGACGAGAAATTATCATTTGGGTCCTGTTTCTTTGTAAAAAACAAAACAGAACAAAAAAAAAAAAGACGGTTCCATATTCTAAATTAATACAGTGAACATGGGAATGTAAGTCCCTCGAGGTGCCCATTTGTCAGTAGCAATTTGACTCGATAGGAATTTGTAAATGATATTCACAAAGAAGGCCATAGAACAGAGCTCAGCCTGGGCACCACTGACATTTCCAACCAAAGAAGTCTTTGTCACTCGGGGCCGTCCTGTGCATTGTTGGATGTTTAGCAGCATCCCTAGCCTTGACCCACTAGATGCCAGGAGCACGCACACCCCTTATTTGTGACAGCCAGAAATGTCTCCAGACACTGCCCAGTGTCCACAGGGGGCGGAATCATCCCGGGTTGAGAACCCCTGCCAGGGACTATCGACCACAGAAGGGAAATCGTTTAGCAATGAGAACGTGAAATTACTTCGTCACTAAACCCCTCTCCTCCTTGCAGTATGAAATGGTAAGATGGCAGGCTCCTGACAAGAGTTATGGTGACATAAACAGTGACTCAGTTTCCAGGATGGCATTAGCAACTGGCAACGGACTCTCCTATTTATCATCACATCAGGCTTCCACTAAATCTTTCAAGTCTGAAAAGAAGAGGGCCAGGCCCTTCCAGGCACAATGCAGTCAAAGCTGAAACTGTGTCTTCATTGTAGCTGGAGAGAGGTTCTGATGGGGACATGGCTCTTCCCCGTGAACTGGTCCAGCGACCGTGCGTTGGAGGGGGATGGGCAACCGTGAGTGGAGGTGGAGTGGAGGGAGGGGTGCCGGGTAGACATTGGTCACCCCAGAAAATATGTCAACATCTGTCCATCACTGCGGCCCTGGGCCGAGGATCATTTTTTCTGCTTCTGTGAGCACCAATGAGCTGATGCCACCGAGCTGTGTCCTTTGTTGCCAGTGGCATTTCCCACCACTGTGCCACCTCTGATATGCTAATGAGGAAGCCCAGGGTTTTGTGTGGCTGAAAAGGCTTTCAGGCACCTTTGAGGGTCAACAATCCAACAATCTGGTGACTCAGCGGGCTGGGTGAGGGGCTCCCCTTCCCAGGGCCCTTCCTCACACCTTTTCTGTGAATGTGTGTGTGCTTGAGGGAGGGCGATTAACCATCTGGCTGCCAGAGGAAGGAATAGAACATTACAGAGAACGAGGGTGCACCCTGACAACTGCCAAGTGGCACGCTACTGTCTAGTGCACTCTGCGGTGAAGCCAGGAACCTGTGGCCCGGATCCGACAGTGACCCGATGGCACCAGCTCGTAGGGAAACTTCGAGGAGAAAAATCCATGCAAGAGCTCTAACCCCGTCATGCCTGGTTCTTCATGTAAATCTACCCCGTGTGACTGCCACGGTTTAAAAATACCTTCCGTAGGCGTGCAGCATCATAAGGTCATAGAATTATGAAACGTCAAGTGGCAGAAGTATTTTCTTTTTTTTCTCTCTTGGCAGAGGTATTTGCTCATCCTAAGCCTTCAGTATTTATTCATTGGATCGAAATCAACAGGTTTAAAAGGTATCTTGCGTGGATTCTTTTTCTAGAATGGTCTCTCCTTTCTAGAATTATTTAATGATTATTGTGTCTTTATTCAGATCAAGTAACCTCAAAGGTTTTTCTTGGGGGGTTTCTTTTGCCTTTTATTTTTTTAACAAATTTATTTATTTCAAGTGGGCTCCATGCCCAGGGTGGGGGCTGAACTCACGACCCTGAGATCAGGCCTGAGCTGAGATCAAGAGTCAGATGCTTACCCAACTGAGGCACTCAGGTGCCCCAAAGGTTCTTTTTTTAATCCAAATAAATTCATACTCATAAACTTTTCCCCACCCCTCACTGAAATTCTAAAAATTCCTGCTAATACTGTTAACGATTGCAAGGAAATACTGTTGTTCTCCTTTAAAGCCTGGATTGCCTGCTGCCAGGGTTTATTTATTTATCAAAGATTTATTGTGTCGGACACTCTAATAGGCCATGACAGCTCAAAGAAGAGTAAGGTATAATTTCTGACCCGAGGAGAAACATAGCGACATTAAGGAGATAATATGTAAAGCAATGGGGTCAGTACCTGACGAAGCCGTGTACACGGCGTCTCGGATCACAGAAGAGGGGTATAACCAGCCAGGGGAAGTCAAGGAAAGCTTCCTGGAGGAGGTGAAGCTGTGTGCTGGACAGTGTGTTAGGTGCCTAGGGAAAAAGAAAGGAAGTGTAAGGTACAACTCTGGGTTCCGTAAAACAAACAAACTACCCTGTAGAGAGAGTCAAGAATACGCCAGGGAAGAAGCACTGTGTAGCTGTAATGCTAAGCTGGTCCTCTCTGTTGTTGCTTTTGTTTTGTTTTACTATTTAAATGTTCTTTGTCTTTCTCTCTTTTTTTAAAAAAAGATTTTATTCATTTGAGAGAGAGGCAGAGAGAGAAGGAACAGGTTGGGGGGGGCAGAAGGTGAGAGAGAAATAGACTCCCTGCTGAGCAGGGAACCCATGCGGGGACTCGATCCTGGGACCCTGGGATCATGACCTGGGCCTAAGGCAGATGCTTAACCGACTGAGTCACCCGGGCGCCCCTTAACTGTTCTTTCTCTTGAGATATTTCCATTTCACTGACAGAAGAGATGAAATCTTCATATAAGAACATGAAATTTCCCCTTGTTTTCTTTTTCTTGGTGACTATCAGCCCATCAGAAATAAGATTTAAGTGAATTTATGTTTTACCCCAGCAAAGAGCCCGGAGTTACCAGATCTGCTCAGTCTGCTCGGAAGATAAAAGGCAGATATTCTTATCCCAAAGAGGCGCCATCAGATTCATAGAAGTGTGGGTTGTTGGACTTCTGTGGTGTTAAATGTGTCTATCATGCCGCCTTCATTCATTAGCTAGTTGATTATTTCGCTTGAGATGTGGCTGCCTACACAGTGCAACCTTCAGTGATGCGAAGAGGACTGGAGCCACTCCTTGACCTTCAGGAGCTCTGTCTGAGGCATAGGGGACACGTATGCACGTGACCTTGACCTGAATCTGAAGATCATGCGTGAGTTTTCCACGTGAAAAAAATTAGAGAAATAGCGTTCATAGCAAAGGAAACAGCATAGGGACATCTCTGGAGGCGGAGGAGCTCGGTGGGCTCTCCTATCAAGTGGTGAGCCCCAGGAGACTGAGGGGCAGAGAGGATTCTGGAAGAGAGGGCTGGGGTCCTTTGGTGAAAGATCCTAAATGCCAAGCTAATCTGGTTGGCAGAGACACATAAGCATGAGAATGTCACCAGAAGCTCTACGGCTACATGGTACTGTCCGGTAGGACCCCCTGCAATGACGAAAATGTTCTATTTCTGCACTAAAATATTGTAGCCACTGGCTGTGCCTGACTATGGAGCAACTGAAATGTGGCTTGTGTGACTGAGAAACTGAATTTTAATTCGGATGTCATTTATATTGATTTAAGCTGAACTCTAACAAGCCACACGTGGCTGGTGGCTAGTGACCGCAGTGTTAGAGTCCCTAGGGCTGGAAAGCTACCCCAGGAGCAGCAGGGAAGGGAGGGGAGATGGCTGCCCATGGGAACAAATGACTCGATTGGAGAGGGAACGACTTGTCTTCTCTTTCTTGCAGAGCTGGATCTTTAACGTGATATAAACAATTTTGACTGTGGATTTGTGTATACGACATATAGACCCTAAATTATTACAGGGCCAATTTCGTCTGGGTGTCTGTAATGGAGAGGAAAGGTATTTCAGGGTAGAGTTCTGGAATGCACCACTGATCCCACCTCTAGGCTGAGGATGGGACAGTGAGCAGTTCTTTCATTCCTTAGATTTTTTTTTTTTTTAGAAAGGTGAGCAAGGCAGACACTCCACCTTCAAATTTTTTTTATTTTTTTATTTTTTTTATTTATGATAGTCAGAGAGAGAGAGAGAGAGAGAGAGAGAGAGAGAGGCAGAGACACAGGCAGAGGGAGAAGCAGGCCCCATGCGCCGGGAGCCCGACGTGGGATTCGATCCCGGGTCTCCAGGATCGCGCCCTGGGCCAAAGGCAGGCGCCAAACCGCTGTGCCACCCAGGGATCCCCATTCCTTAGATTTTTATTTCAGAGAGCTGAACTTCCATCCCACCCACCCCCTCCAACGTCTCTGCACACAGTGGCCAAGACGGTGGTTCCCCATGGGGGGTGGGGGGGTGGGGCAGCGAGTTTGTCCCTCAGGGTACATTTGACGTTTGGCAATACCTGGAGACATTTTGGTCATCATGACGGTCATGATGGGAGGAGGGGATGTTAGGGGCCTCTCATCAGTAGATGCTGCTAAACGTCCTGCAGCACACAGGACACCCTCCCCCACAGCTCAGAATGAGCTGGCCCAAAGTACCACCAGCCCTGTGGTGGAGAAATCCCGGTCTAGGACAGGACTTCTCAACCCTCAATGCCCATTAGAGTCACTTGGGAAACTTCAGAGGTATCCCAATGCCCTGGGCCTTCCCCAGGCCCAACTGAATCTGAAACTCTGAGGGTGCGGCCCAGCCCAGGCACTGGGGCTTTTAGAAAACTTTCCAGGCGATTCTAACATGCAGCTGGAATTGGGAACTCCTTCAACATCCTAAACCCCTACATATGTGATTCCTAAAAGCATCCGTTTTGCGTGTCTCATGGAATGTTCTGCATCCCCACCTCCCCACCCCCACCCCCCAGACCACCGCCATGTTACTTTGCCTATTTGTCACTGTGGGGCTCCTGAGACCTGTCGCACAAAGATAGGTTTGGGTTTTGCCTATCAAGTGAAAGAGGATTCGAGGGGCTTCTCTGGTAAACCACGCCATGGCCTGCTTCCTGCCCGGCAGGGGAAACCCAGAGTTAAAAATGGCTAACAGGAAAGCTAGTAGAGGGAGATCATTAGCAACTATTAGTTCTTTGGTGGCTGTAGTCCTACTCCGTGGGATTACTCAGTAGCGGGAAGGGCCACCCTTCTATCACGTCTGTTTAGCTTAATAAAGTGGAAAAGAACAACAGTTGTTTTCGCTTCTTTTTTTAAGGTGGAAGAAACACACGTTTTGAAGTTGCCCTTGTTAATCTGTTGAAATGTCGTTGGAAAAGATGTTTCAACAGAAGAGAAAAAATTTCATGGTTTTTGCGAGAGATCAAGACACTTTCCCTACACCATCCTTTAATTGTCAAGAGACGCCAAAGGGAACTTTCTTACCCTTGTTTCGCTTAAAGCTAACAGCTTGGGGGAAAATCAGAGGCCTTTGTTCTCTGCAAATTCTCTGGGCAGCCTGTATAGCCCAGTGGCTCCAGGACTGGCATCTTTGGAGATGCAGCCCTGCTGCGCATGTGGCTCTGGTTTTCAGATTTTTTTTTTTTAAGATTTTACTTATTTATTCATGAGAGACACAGAGAGAGAGGCAGAGACATAGGCAGAGGGAGAAGCAGGCTCCTTGCAGGGACCCCCATGGGGGACTCGATCCCAGGACTCCGGGATCATGACCTGAACCAAAGACAGACGCTGGACCGCTGAGTCACCCAGGTACCCCTGGTTTTCAGGTGTTTCATGCTTTACTAGGAGTTTCATTTGTTCGATGCCATATAAACTCTAAGCATCCCAGTTACGCTTGCTTACCTGGCGGAAGCACACTAGGCTCTCAGTCCCCTGTCTTTGGCCACATCTGTCCGGCTAGTAGCTGGTCCCACTCGGAGCAGCTGAAGGAAGCCGGAGAACCAACATGTTCATGAATGCGGAGCGCTGTCAACATAAAACCTTCCAGCTCGAGTTGGGGCACTGTCCCTCACTCTCATCTTCAACACTGGGCTACCACTCATCTCAGGCTCGGTTCCTCCACCTCTACACAAATGACATTTGGGACTGGACATTCTTTGGCATCAGTGGGCTGTCAGCGAATGTCCAGCAGCATCTCTGGTCTCCACCCCCTAGATGCCGGTAATGCCCCCTAATGATGACAACCAAAACTGCCTCCAAACCTTGCCCCCGGGTGGGGGTGCAAAACCGCCCCCAGTTCGGAATCTCTGTGGTGGACTTCCCAGCTTCTAGTTAATAATTCCAACAGGGAACCTCCGCAGGGCTCTGAGTGTCCAGCTGGCAAGGGAGGAGGTGAGTGATAGATCTGACTGCTGCTCTAGGGGGAGTGGGAGGAAAGGGGATAAGAAGAGATTCTGGACCAGATAAGTCGAGGCACTAGTCCAGGCGAGGGAGGGTGATTGCCTAGACAGGGATTTTAGCTGTGGGAATGAGAGATGTTAAAAGGGAGATAGAAGACCCAAAATGGAGTCACTTGTGCTAAGCGCACATCACCAAACTGAGATTTATCACTTCCCTTACTTACAGTTTCAGCCTGTCGCGGGAGTGGAGTCTTAAACCAGTCCGTCTGGAATGAGCTTGTCAGCACTAGTGAAGTAATTGGCCTGAGGGACCCCTGCCATTCCCAAAGGCAGGCAGCTGCCTGTAAACGATTCCTTCTTCCCTGGTAACTTCCTTGTCCCGTCCCCTTCCACCTACAAAAGTCCTTCATAGCATACAGTTCTCAGGAGCTGCATCCTATTTGCTTGAAGGGGTGCTGCTTATTCAATGAGTCATGAATATTGTTGATTAAAATCAGCAACACCTTTAAAATTTACTCCGCTGAATTTCATTTTTTTGACAGAGAGACGATGGACTGGAGAAACGTTCTGAGAGAAGCCATAGGGCCAGTCGATGGACTGGAAAGGGTGTGTGTGAAAAAGATCACCCCAAATGGCTCTCAGGTTGCTGGACCTCGGTGCCACACACTGGGAAGCAAGCTATGGGATGAGAAACTGCTAGAACACACGGGGAGCCAGGGACGGGGTGGGCCAAGAGTCCTGCTTTGAACATGCTAGTTTTGAGATCCCACTAGACAGTCTGGTAGAGGCAGTGAGAAGGCGATTGGGCGTCAGGGTCTTAGAACTTGGGAGGGAGGAGTTGGGGAGACAGATTTGGCCAAGCGACGTCAAGGATCTGTAGGAATATGACACGCATGAAGACATAGGAGACTTGGACAGCCCGGGTGGCTCAGCGGTTTAGCGCCACCTTCGGCCCAGGACCTGATCCTGGAGACGCGGGATCGAGTCCCACGTCGGGCTCCCTGCATGGGGCCTGCTTCTCCCTCTGCCTGGGTCTCTGCCTCTCTCTGTGTGTGTCTCTCATGAATAAATAAATAAAATCTTAAAAAAAA